AAATTTTATTTTATCTGGACCTTCAATGAAACGTTGCTGCTAAATACTCTTTAATTGAGTCATTAATAAATGTTTAATCGTTATGAATTTATAATTTAATCATTAATATTATGTATAATCGTGTTTGATAAATGTTTAATCATTAATTTTGTAATTAATCGATTGCTTCTCATTGAAATCAGTTCGTTTCGTATATAATTCTCCTTGTTTTATGAACATTCGTAAAAACAGCGTTACATCGACGAAACATTGGCGTTAAACACTCTTTCATTTAATGGCAGTCAATTATAATTTCATAATCGATCGGCTGCTTTCTAGCGAAACGTTGAACGTATTATATAAATGTAAATATTAGATAATAATCAGTCGTTTTGTATATAATTTTCAGGGATTAATCGACTGAATTAATTAACGTACTTTACTTCAAATTTCGTGCCCCGACGAACAAATTGATATCAAATCGCGAGAATATGACGATTTCAAGTGATTGCAAGGAGAATTTACTTTAATTGAAACGCACGGACGAAATATTCCACTAGAAAACGATTTGTAGAGGAGAATGAAACAATTACCAAGAATGTACGTGAAATATCGAATAAAATGTAATATGTGACGTTTTTTAAGAAAGACTGTAGATTCTATTTTAAATAGCTCGGATTCTAGTGGCATTCTGCGCGAAAAAAGAATCGGAATTATCGGAATGACTGTTTAATTAAAAATTCCTAGAGCAGCTCAAACGATCTGTAGATACGTACATCGTTTCTGGAATGCAATCAGAAATCCTCCTTAACGAAGGCATTTACTTGAAATACCTCACCAACTAATCATACCGTTTTACCTGAATAATTTCTCCTCGTAACAAGGAAATGATTCGATCTACGTAAGAAAAAAAAAAGAAAAAGGAAAATGTTTTCTGGTACGAGAAATAGCATGCAAATACACGATGCATACAAATCATTACGTCTAAGAATAAAATACGATTCTAGGAATACAACTCTATCTTCCCTCTACTTTATCTATCTTTCTAGTGTCCTTTTTTAGTGTGACATTTTCTTCTGTCAGGGGACGACAGATATGGCATGTTCCGGTTGCATGAACCATTCAGCAGAATCGATAGTGTAGATGTTACTTTCAAAAGATGAATGCGTGATGGTTCTACAGAGTGTTATGTAACTCTCCATAAGAAAGAAAATAAATGAAATATGAAGAATAATAGGTTTTTAAATACGGAGGAAATGTATCCACACTTCTTAAAATACGTACACTTCACACAATTTCAAAATCCACTTTTTCGAAAACGGAGTCTCGTTAAAAAAAATTCATCATTTGTTCCTTTTTTCATAGCGTGTAATAGCTGGCACGTAATTATTCGAATCACTTGACATAAGTGAATCTTTTTGTCTATTTCGTTTAATACCACGTCTCGAAAACTCAACCTTCATTCTGTTCTCTGCAGAAGTATCATTTCACAATAAATGTTGCAAAACAGATGCAAAACTTTTACTTCATTCGCAATTGTTCCAATTATTGTAATTGGCTTTCATTCTGAAAATATTTGCGTATTTGTGAAATTCCAAGGAAAAGTATTATGACACTTGGAGACACTCGGATGGTTCGCAAATCATGCCTCTACTTTCTTTATCTTCCATTTGTTTGGAAAACAAGGGAAAACAAACATCAAACGAGCGACGCACGAAAAAGGAAAATGTCAATCGCCGCATGGGCGCGAATATCGATACAACGAACGTCAAAGCGAAGAGTTCGGCGAACTCTGTGTACAAAGGCTGGATCACCGTGTACTTGTCAACCGAATAATTTAATTTAGTAGCTTCTACTCATAACCGGCGGAGCTAGTTTTCGTGAAAAAGAGAGAAAGTTCGTCCTCTCGTTCGAGCTTTCGAAGGCGAGCGTTACACGCGGCTGATGACTCCGAAAGTACACACTACTCGCAAAGTTTATGCAACTCAGCCGGCGAAGTTGTATCCTAGAAGAACTCCCCAGCCAGAGAAATCGGGGTGAAGTCGATCAACTGTGTTGTTCGAGGCATCAAAATAATCTATTTGAGCAACAGAAACAGCAGCATTGTTGGTTGCGTTCGCACGTTCTTGCAAATTTCTCCGCAAAGTGAAATTTAACGTCGAGATTTTGTTCGCGTGTGTTTAGTTTTACACGTGTCTCATGTGTTACTTATTCTGTATGGTAAAATTCTTTTCATACACTGCGACTTTATTTAGAGACACTGTGTGATGTGTTTGGGACAATCTATGAGATTCTAGCAATTTGGAAATACTGTGAAGTGTTGAGTGCAATACTTTTTACAATCTACGTGTAATTTGAATTATTTTAATCTTAATTTTAAATTAAACATTAAATCGAATCTTTTTGTTGGACATAAATACTATTTAATACTATATTATTCCTTTTGTTGGACGAAATATACATATACTATAATTGTAAATTATTGCAGTAGAATTTTCATTATTATAATTTCGAATACCTTTGTTTTCATACGAAAGAAGATCATTTGTTTTTAATTATTTTGCAGATACTTTGTTAACGGTAGAACAATCAAACTATTTCAGATTTTTCTCTTTTACTTCATTACTTAAAAAATGCAAATATTTTTGTCAAAATTAGTATTGTTTTCCATTTAGACAGAAGCAGAAGTTGTACAGATTTAAACAAAGACAAAAGATTTCTATTGCCAATTTTTCTCATTAATAATCGAGATTGCATTGTATGTGTTGTTCAACATTTATTTAATTTTATGTATACTTGAATAAGTTTTGAATAAATGAATATGCATAATAATGCGAATATACTAAATGTATATCAATGTATTATCATCAATTATTAATGTACATATGATTAAATGGTTGTTCAATTTATGCGTGATATTATGTAAATTGATACTTATAGATATACCTATAGTAAATATTAGATTTCGACAGACTACGGACTAATAAGCATTACTCTTTATTAATGTGATTTCTGATTTACGAATTATTGACCATAACATGTTATATCTGTATCTCGTTCGTACCATTTAAAATTTTCAAACGAATAACGAACAATTGAATCGATTGACAAACTTTCTTCTATAAAAATAATAACATAAATGTATAAGTCACAAGTTCTTACTTCTTGAAATAGAGACGTAGAGATTTATTAAAAATTTAAGAAAAAAAATTAACACCAAATATCTATCACAAGTGATTATTTCTAGTTCTATTAAAAACTCCAATAAATATAATTTTTAAATAAAAATCTTCTGACTCTATTAGAAATTTAAGAAAACAAATAATTAACATCGAACATTTATTACGAGTGATTATTCCCAGACTGCGAATACTAATGCAAATTCTTTTTCTTTTTTTTTTGTATGAATATGTGACTAGAGAAATAAAGAAATTTAAACAGAGATAATAAAAACTAAACATTATAGTGAGTACTTTACATTGAAAATTTTCTATGTTTTTGCATGTAACGCCACCAGAATACATATTCATCAGCAAATGCATAAACATCAGCAGTCTGATTATTTCAATCAGCTCGCATCGTACTTGAAGTTTTGAATCACATTTGCGTATGTAAGAGTTGTCTGTTCACTACAGAAATGGCTTTGAATTATTTACAAAGATAATGCGACGCTGCTACATTTTCTGAATAGTGCTTGAGAATGATTAGTTAATTGATAGCAATTCTAGACTCGTATCACCGTTCGGCAGGGGAGAGAAATTTTGGATTGGTGGAATGTTACAGACCATTTAACTTTACAAGACACATTTCTCTCACTGATAGCTGATTTTCTGCTGAACTACTTTCTAGATTTCGACTATTAAAACTTTTAGTACCTAAGGTGAACCTATAAAAGGGATCAAGCAACTTTAAATTCAAAAACCACATAGTGATCGTGATTTTAAAGACGTAGGAATAACAGAAATTGCAGTGAACAGTTTGATATAATCAATAATGTAGAACAACTCAGTAATTCTTGCACAGTGATTCAAAATATTTTTGTACAAGATTGAACTAACTTGATATACGTATTACGTATTAACTACACAACTATATTATATTTATATACCTACCTTGCGTTTAATCAATCACGTAACTGATGTCTTTGCATTTAAACCATTTATCGTACTTACGTGACACATAAAATTGATTCGTGACTACTTTATAGACTAGTACATTCTACTAAACTATGACTTACATTTTCGGATTTATTAAGTTCAAAAAGTAAAACTAAAACTATCCGACTTTTACTACGTTAATTATCAAATTATTACACGAATTGTCCAATTAATATTTGCTTTAAATGCTTGGCAAAGTAATCGTTCCTTTCAAATGTATTTCTCAAATGTATTTAACTCAAAGGGAACTCCTTCAGAATTCTAATTGAAAAGAACATGCAAAATGTCAAAGCGTAACTTTAAGAATTAAGGATGAAAAATTGCGTAAATAATAAATACTTGATAATCACAAAGCATAGCCATTTGATTAAAAGTTTCCATCGTTATTTCTGAATATTTACGTATTGGGACAGTCTGCGCTCTTTGACAATATTTATACGTATAATAAATAATTTCTTCCGTAAGTATCGAAATATTCTCCAACTTTTCTCGGGAAATTTTTCCAACTTTTACACATTAATATATACGAGCAGTATTAAAGAAGCGATTTTTTGAAAGGAAAAGATAAGCTTAAAATCTTTTCATAATAATATCACGACCACTCCAACCAACTGATTACAAGTAATCGCTCCATTTTCAGTTACGGCAAACAATGCTACGCAAACTAAATAAATCGGCACTCCACGCTTCCTCACGCTCTAAACATACATCTTATCCGTTGTATTCTACGAGTCCGCCGGATTATCCACGAAGTAAGTCGTTTACCGAGTGAATATCAGCGAGGGCGTGAGGCGATAATCGAATAGATGGAAAATTATTGATTGAGAGGGATAATAAATCGACGGTACAGAGTGATATACTTACTGGTAGCGCTGACAGCCGGTCCGATGACCGAGTACTTGGGGTTACCGGTAACGGCCCCTGGGACGACCTTGTCCGGCTCTGAAATACATTATTGTAATTATCCTCGGAATATACAGTGCCGTTAATTACAGTTGGGAGTCGCGTATGCGAATGGAACATGGCCAATCTACCTTAGCAAACGGTCCCCCATTTATGATTTATTACCTCATAAATAGTCAGCCGTGCAAACTAACCTTATTCCGTTGGCAATTTCGTTCTCGCAGGCACGCGCGTTAACCTTTTCATCAGTCGTACACGGTCGTTAAAAATTTATATAGTTATCGACGAAAATTCAACTCGATGTTTCAACACGGGGTGAAAGCGAGAGACCCGCAAAGAGAGAGAAACTCGCGCCAATGTCAAGAGGTCGTTAATTAATTTGACCGCGATTAACATGCCAGCAACGCGTAAGGAGGCTGAACCAACAAGGGATACCAATGTTATCGTCCGCGTTATAACGAATTTATGCAAATCGCCGAGCTGCCGCGTCGATAACACGTTTCAAGGAACACTGGACACGTTCGTGCTTCGTTGGTACAACGCGGTTTCAACGTTCGCGGTTGGGACGAAGAACAATTGAAAACCAAGGAGCACTGTCTAACCGGAGCACTGTATTTTACGGTATGTTGGAAAGCTACGGGTTCTGTTTTACCGACGAGGTTGAGCGTAAGAATGGCAAGCTTCTCGCAACTTCTGCCTCGAAGCGCTCTCACGCTCACCCTCAGCGACGCTCCACGTTCAACTAGCAAACCGATCGTTCCGACGAATCTACGATACCGACGATAGAGCTTGCAGAATCGAACGAACCTCGTCGAACGAGCATACGTGTATAGTCACGCGAGTCTATTTCAAAAAATCGTTAACAAAGTTCGAAATTACTAACCTAGAATTCTGTCGACTGGGTGACTTTTCAAATCTTGTCACGCGATGTACTTCGTCATCTTCAGTTAACTGTGAATTATTGTGCCGGAGTGAAAATAAATACAAACGAAACTCTGCATACAACTCTGTTTTCCCGTTTCTATTCCGCAACACTCGCCAGACAAACAAACAAACGATCATTACGCGAGGATATCGTCGCAACTTCTGTTTCTGATTAAGATTAATAGGCGGTCGCAACTTTTTACGGTCGTCGCGGAAAGATCCGCGCCATTCGTCATTTAGAAACGACAAACTTGCTTAACACCGGTGAGAAACAAACTTCGGAGAAAATTTTCTACAGCGCCAGATGTCAGGATCATCGTAAATTTCGAAGGAACTGGAAAAGTTCGGCGAAACAGTGGGACGTCGATTAAACACCGTCGGCAATCGACGTGGCGAGAAATAGACGATTTCCGAGAGAGCTGCCGAAAATCCGAAGACGCGGAGACGATTGCGATTTCGCTACTACGGTTCTACGGTGATGATGTTCCCTCGGCGCTTTGGACCAGCCGATTGCGGCGCTCGAAGCTGTTCATTATTCAAGCAACAAAGAGCAAAGGAGAGCCGGCAAAGGAAATCGAAACGGAATCGCAGGGAAGGGAATACGCGATGAGTTTATATCGGCGGATTTTCATAATGCTGATGAAAACAGTGTCGTTCGTTACCCACCAGGATGCGGCGCATCGTCCAATGGCTGGAATTGGAACATCGCCTTGAAACCCTGGCCGGGCCACTCGGAATTAGCAACGAACTCGACGTACAGGTCTGACCCGGTGCTGAGCACTTCCACTTCCGTTCCTTGGTTGCACAGCACCGCTATTGTGGCCGCCCCTGAATCCGTTCCGTCGTGTACCCTGATTAAATCCGCTCTATTCAGGCAACTGTAACAGGACACTTTTCGTTAATGGCAACTTATCGGTACGTTACCCAGCGATCGCGAATAATCGAAACGAAAGTTGAAAGGTTCGTTCTGTATCTCGCAACGGCGAGCGCGCCACGTGTCTGCACGACACAATAGATATCGTTGAACAATTGAAACAAAGCTAGAATAAAGAATAAAGTTAACTTGTGATAATAAGAAGAATTTTATTCGGTTGTGCGCAACAGAGGAAACTTTGTTCTCGACGAAGCACGTTGTCAAGATTTGAAACACTACTCCAAAAGTTTAGATTCGACCATCCTTCTGGTTTCAAAGGTAAGATTTTGTTTTCATTTTTATGATCGTGTGTTATTCGTTCCTACTGTCAAGACTGAAAATGTTCGGACATATATTATGTAAGATGCAGTGTTTAAATTGTACATCTTTGTTACATCTTTTATACTATCAAATCTAGCATTTAAATTGCGCATACTGTCAAGTTTAAAAATACTCGGATACACTGTAAGGCAGCATTTAAATTATATATCTTTGTTAATACTATCAAGCTCAAAAGCATGTAAGATGCAGCATTTAAATTGCGCATCTTTATTCATACCGTCAAGCTTAAAAGTATTCAAATATACATTACACAAGGAATGATCTTTAAATAGAGAATAATATTTTGTACTATAGTCTTTGTACCATACATTTTTTGATATTTTTATTGCATCTATACGCGTAGAAAAATATAATATAACATATATTTTACAATAATATAAAAATATAACATAATATATTAACAGTATGAGGTGATATCACGCGAGTTTTAACTTTACGACTATGACTTTAACTCTATGACATGATGTTGTGCGATTTTGAACCAGAGGCGTGATAGTGATGTCATGCGACTTTCAATGGTTGGTAATTAGATAGTGCATTGTCAAGTAATTTTCAGTAATAGTAATTCTTAGTAGAAGTTGTCAATTCTGAAGATTACTCCCGAAAGTAGCCGGTTATTATACTCTTAATATCTTTTAAGCGTTTCAGAGTGAGAATCCTATCGCGTTCTGCGTAAATACTCCACGATATTTAACACTCTAGTACACCTAGGTTTGCATAACATTTACGTGTAAAATAAACGGCAATTTGTTATCAAAAATTACTTTCGAAAAATGAAACAAATCGGTCCAAAGAACTTTATTTTACGTTTACCGATTTTAATTCCAAACGTCCAATATCTTCGTGTATTTTATCCATGAAATTATTATCTTTCGTTTTACCCGCATCAACAATAACGTGGTTTGCCATTGATTTCCATTGCTTTCAGATGAACATATTCAATTTGGAATAATTCGACAGCTTTGAATGCGAAAGCCAAACGATAATTCGATCGCGGTGTTAATACAAAAGTAGAAAATAAAACCGATTCGTTCTGTTGTATGGCTTATTATGTTCATAGACGCACGATGCTCGAAACAAGGGAACACGTAATTGTGACGTTTTTTACGAAGATGAAAATTTTTAGAGCGCAACGAAAAGTCCCAAAGTTTGGTGAAATTGCAATCGTAAAACGAAACGAAACGAAACGAAACGCGGGTGATATTTGCTTGGTATTTTTTAAGCACTCTGCCCTTTAATTAACTTTCTCTATTACAGTTTGACAACTTTTTTGCGTTTCAATAGAAATATCGAAAATATATAACAGGCAGGTAAAAAGACAGTCTCTCTCTCTTTCTTTAAGGAAATATTATGTTGCAAAATATTTTGCTAGCTTCTCGATAAAAATATACAGTATAATGGTGTAACGTAACACGATTCGAGAAATAACGATGAAAGTGAAACACTGCTTGAAGAAATAATGCCAAAGCAAACATTTGAACAGGAAATTTCTGCAAACGGATTCGAAAAAACACGGAACGTATTTCACGCGTTGTATCGAGTTTTAAAATTGCGGAGCATGTATGTAAATCAGTGTTGAAACGTGGAAACGCAATAAATTATTTAAATACTCTAGCTTGAAGTTATTCGTTGAAATTCGTCGAAAAGAATTTAAGGCTCTAGTAAATCTGTCGTTTAAAAAAATAGTTGGCGAGTTTCACTGTTACGTAACGTTCCCGTTGTTAAATTTAATCACCATGTTATTATTTACGTTTTCTCTTTTTCTGTCAGTATTTTTGAAATTAATTGATTTCTATGTAATCTGGCCTGTCTCAAATTACGTTTCATTTGCGGGAGAATGGACCCTCGTGGAACTAACTTGAGAGATTTTCATCTCGAAATTCGATTATCAAAAGTACTGAAATTAACCTTTTCGAAATTTCACGAAATCTGACGACGAGTGAAGCGCGTTCTACGAGCCGGTTACCTTCTAATTTATTGGATTATGATAATATGATATAACGAGATGAAATTTCTACTTTTCAAGGAGACGTAAGGTAACATCTACAATGAACGGGTTATATTTCTAACCTATTACACCGAAGAAAATGCAACGATGTGAAATATTTCTCTTGGAAATCTCTACTTTCCAAGACAAGTGAATTAAAATCTACAATGCGCCGGTTGTTTTCTTCTGATGCGTAAAATCGAAGGAAATATCGCGAAGTGAAATCTTACTTTGCCAGGCAAGTAAAGCAGCGTTATATTCCAATTTACCAAATTACAGACGATTATGCTTTCCAATGAAAATAAAACCTAAATCGTGCAAGTTGTTTCCCAATTTGTCATGCGGAGTTTGTACATAAAATGTACAAATTAGACTGTACTATAGTACAGATAAAACGAATGTCTTTTATTTCTTTTCTATTTCTTGTTCGTGAAAATTTTTAAAAAACCGGCATTCAAGAAAACAAACCGAACTGAAACGTCCGTGAACCGCGAGAGCGTTCCACGCAAGACTAATCACAGATCGATAAAATTAAAAGCCGCGCGTTTAATCCCTTCGTCGTTCTCGCTTGTTCGCGGCGAGGGTGATTCACGGGTCAAGAGACGAGGAGAAAATTGAAACGGGTTTAGAAAACGTCCGCGTGGACTTTCCAGGCTCGTTCATTTATCGACTCGGTTCCGTGCAACTTGAGAAGAAACCCCGGAGAAGTCCCGATTCCTTGGTTGTAGCACTCGGTGCTACACGTTCCACGAGGCCGGGTCTCCTCGACGAAGGTGAGATAATTTACCTTCGAGTGGCTCGGTTCGTCGCGAGATCTCGTGGAAAAAGGTGCACGAGCGCCGAACACGGTGGATGCAAGTGGCGTGCCTTGGACGAAAGATACTGATGCTGGAGGAAACGAGAGAAAGAGAGTCGAGAGTTCAACGTGGAGAGTTCCAGTCGAGAAGAGAAGAGTTAAAGTTAAAGGTGAAGATACTGGAGCGACAAATGGAACAGTAGAAAATGGTCGAGAGAAAGGGAGAGGAAGAAAGAAATAGCAGTATCCCATCGATAGTCGACGATTCTCTTTTATAGGTATACGCGATACCACTTTGCCCAATCGAACGGAAGAGAATTACACGTGACGGTAACGGGGTCGGTAGCTCGGAGCGCGCTAAGCCGACTGGCGATTGGTGATCCGATCGATTTAAGGCCTTGATCGATGACGACCGCGGGATAACCTTATTACCTGCACGAGTTAAACAATTACCCATGGCAGAGAAAAATTGTCAAAGAGCGAGAGATTAAAGAGTGCGTCCGTCTTTCCGCTGCTTTCGTTCGACGACTTTCTCTGCAACTAGTATAGGTATATACAAGGGTGGACAAAAGTATTCGCACTCGCTCGATGGAATATTTTAAACTTTTATCGAAAAAGGAAAAAAAATTGTACAACGATCTAGTTCAACGTCATTTTAAAGTGAGAAGCCTCCAATTTGACTACGTCAATTTTTTTTCGAAAATGTTTTTACATTATGTAGCAGAGATGCTTTCGTACTCCGATCAGATCGGAGATATATTTATTGTAACAACTAACGAGGACGTTAGAATAATATAATAAACATAGTAAAACATCAAAAATATGTATATAAGGGAAAGCAAGTCTCATTCGCATTTGCAACAATTATCAGATCTGATCAATAACGTTCTTTGTCACATCTAATCGTAAGTTTATTTATGAACTTTTCACTTTCTCTGTCATTCTAAAAGCAAACACTTGTTACGTGGATTTCAGCGGCATCCCCAGATACCATCATCCTTCCTAGCTTTCCCCATTTTTTCTCCAGACGAGAAAGGACGTCTCTTCTTTCTCGGTTCATACGACGGCACTTCTACTTCCTTAACGTCTCGTCATTTCCTTCCCCCGCCACTTGATATATATGTATAGTGAAACCAGGCTCGAAAAAATGACGTAAAATATCTTTGTTGGAAACATTCATAAATAAGTAGTGAAACGTTCCAGCAGCTTAATTACTAAGAACGTAATAACGTTATAACTTAAACAAAATTAAGTTAGCTAGAATGTAGCGTCGTAGTTAAGGTTTACTATGGCGGAAGATGGAGATCCAAGAGTTAAATTCCTTCCATTAGCTTTATCTTCAACCGCGAACAGTAGTTCAGACTGCGTGCAACGAGTTTCAGCTACATCTGCTGGCGAAGAGCGATTAAGAAGAGTGAGATGCAACCTGTAGATCACGGCGCAGCACGGTGAACAATCAAAATGGGAGAAGTAGCCATCAAACAGCGAAACATCATCAGTCAATATCAAAGATAGTTGCCAAGGATACGGGACCGGTTGCACCAACAACGCGGAAATTCGGAAATTGCCGAATCAACGCGGCAAGTTGCAACTCTGCAGCCAGCAACTCTCTGTATCGCGTAAAATACATCCTCGCGTCCCATAAAATACATCTGTTATGCGTTGTTCGACTGATACTAGAAATCGTGGAATCTCTCTTTTCTATTCTTTTTTTTTTTTTTCTTCCATTACAATTTTAATTTCGAGTAAACTTGGGATTGATCGAAAGATTGGATTCTTATTACCTGTAGTAATATACCATACAATTCCTTTTTCCCTAATATATTATTTCGTGTTATAT